ACAACAAAAATCCAACCAACAACTTGGATAACCTAAATGCCAAGGCAGAAACATAAAATGAAACCTGAAAAACCAGGACAGCATGATTCCTGCTGAAAATGACTAATTCCAAAGTAATGCATTCCAATGATGAGTTAGATCAAATCTCAAACAGAGAATTCAAAAGAATTGCCTTCAAAAATGTTCAACAAAACCAAAGACGACATAAAATAAACTTCTGAATAAATTTAAACAGAACACCAGTCAAAAGCAGTTGAACTGAAGTAAGTCAACACAGGATACAAAAGAGGAATAATACAAAAGAGACATAAATATTAAAGACAAAAATCAAATTTAAATTTCAGAAACAAAAATAATGTATGAAATAAAAACACAGTGGGAAGTTTCATCAATAGAATGGTCAAGTGGAAGACAGACACTATGAGGGCTTAAAGAGAAGGTATTAATATGAAAGATGAAGCAGTAAAAAATATGAGTAGGGCACTGGATATCATTAAAAGATCAAATCTATACAAATCATGGGCAGAGGTGGATGTGGTGGTTTAAAGAAGAAATGTTTCCTACAGGCTCACGTATTTAACACTTGCTGCGTAGCTGGCAGCACTGTGTTGGGGAGGTTGTGGAACCTTTAGGAGGGGCAGCTTTATTGGAGGAAGGCTGTCACTGGGGACAGACTTTGGAGGGGGTGTCAAAGCCTTGTTTCACTTCCTGTTTACACTCCCTGGTTCTTGTGTGCGGATCAGGACATGATCAGCCAGGTGCTGTCCCATGCCAAGCTGTCTCCAACATGATGAATTCAAGCCCCCTGGAACTGTAGGCCAAAGTCATCCTTCTCCCTTGAATTGTTCCTGGGCATGGTATTTATTATAGCAGCAGAAAAGGGAACTAAGAAGAAACCAGGGAAAGCATCTTCAGGTGCTTTTGCTCTGAAGAACCAGACTGGCGTTCTTGTGAGGAATGTGATGTACTTTTGACTAGAGACTGTCTGTGTTTTTGATGAAGAACATGGACCCGGACCTAAAAAGAATGGTATGCAATCAGCCTCAGAGAGCACCCAGATGCTGATGTGAATTCTATCCCAGGCACCAAGAACATTTATAAAGGCTGCTGCTGAATCAATGCCAACAGACACTACAAACTGAAAGATGCTGTGCCGCCGACTGTAAGGGATTCTACTAAATCCAGTGACTCTGGCAAATATTTAACCTTTGTAATACTTCCCATTATTGGGAAGGAAATCATTGCCACCAAGTAGCAGTGTTGGATTATATGTGATAATAAATAGATGCCTACTACTCCATATATTATCAATAAATACACACCAGTAATATGTATTAGCATATCTGTCGCATGATGTGGGATGTCCTGTATATATGTTGCTTTTATTGGTTAATGAATAAAGCTGCTCTGGCCTATAGCAGAATATAGCTAGGATGGAAGATATCTATATCTATCTATCTATCTATCTATCTATCTATCTATCTATCTATCTATCTATCTATCGAGAAGGCGGAGTCAAGGAGACACCATGTAGCTGCCAAAGGAGAAAGATGCCAGAACACAACCTTACTGGGTAAAGTCACAGTTTTGTGGCAATACACAGATTAATAGAAATGGGTTGATTTAAGATGTAAGAGTTAGTTAATAAGAAGCCTGAGCTAATAGGCCAAACAGTGTTGTAATTAATATAGTTTCTATGATTACTTGGGTCTGAGCAGCAGGGAAACAAAAGAGCAGTCTCCTTCTACAGTCACAGAACTGAGACAATTCTCCAATGAATTATTTTAGGTGTAAGTAAAACTGTGATTGTTACTTCTCTAGTATTTTTTTTATCCTCTATATTAGTTTACATAAGAGGAGATGCTAGTCTCTATTTTCACAGATCCAAGTGATAACAGTTTTCCTTACACATCATGCTACATTCTTCTGGCACTTTTTCCTTTCAAGAAAGTACTTGGTTACCATCAACTAAAAATATTGAGTGAATATTTCCATAATGCCTTATCAAAGAAATTAAATGGTTTCAATAAACACTAAAGGAATGAATCATGATTACTAGGATGCCACAGGGAGTTACTTACGAAGACTATCATTTTTCTTGTTGATCAGGATTATTAGGTTGGATATGAGAAACATGATTAGTGTGGTATAAATGAACATTTGCAAGGCAAAAGGCTGGGTCTTTCTTGGCGTTCTTAGGATAAGGTACAAGCAGCAACAAAGAGCAGATTGGAAATGTATCGAGCAACCATACTGAGGGGTTCTGATTTGTTACCAAGTAAGGTAACAATGACTGGATGAGGGGTCATAGTGTGCATACTGGAGTGCCTGTAGGAATGTGGAGGATGTGGGGGATTTTTGCTTTCAGCAGTACTGGAGATTGAAACTAGGCATGCATACAGGTAAGTGCTCTTCTACTGAGCAACACCCACAGTCCACTGCAAAGTTTTATGGTAAATTCTTAGGCTAAAAAGAGGTTAAATACTGTAAAAAAATTACTTTCAAGATGTCTTTCTTTTCCAATGTATGTACATAGCTATTTTTTCTCTTCATACAAGTGATAGTAACAACTGCTATACAAATGATAGTATTACTATGACCACAAATGATTATGTATGTCATAATGATTGGTAAGAGAAAGCAGTCAGTACCTTTTGCCTTTAAAACCACATGCATATTCACATGGTTAGCGAACTAAACACGTTTTTATTTATGTTTAGTTTTATGTGTGGGTGTTTTGCCTGCATGTACATCTATGCACTACATGTATGAAATGTTCATGGAACCAGAAAAGGGTATCAGATCCTCTGAAACCACAGTTACAGATGTTTGGTAGCAGACACAGAGGTACTAGGAACCAAACTTGGGTCCTCTGCAAGAGCAGCCAGTACTGCCCTTAACTGTGTAACCATTTCCTTAACTCCCAAACAAATTTATTTTTGACAACCAAGTTTACTACAGATTTATTATTTTACTTCTGCAAATACCATTTTCTTTGTTATTTTAATTTATTCTTTTGTTTTGATACAGGGCTCACTCTATAGCTTAGTCTGATTCAGTAAGAATTCATGATGTAACCAGACTGGTTTTATATTCAAAGTCATCCTTCTGCCTCAATATCTTGAGTGCTGAAATTACAGATGTGAGCCACTGTGCCCAGTTAAAAGTTTTGCTTGTTTGCTTTTAATTCAATTTTTTTTTAGTTTTGAGGATTTTTCTATATGAACACTGCATTTATATTATTTAAGTCTGATATTTGTTAAAAGGATCTATTTTATTTTTAATTATGTGTGTGTGTCTTTGTATTGTCATGTGCACATAAAGGCAAGTGCCCATAGAAGCTAGAAAAGGTGTTCCATCTCCTGGTACTGGAGTTAAGGTGGGTTCTGGGATCTAAACCTGGTCCTCAGAATAGCAGTAAGTGTGCAGTAAGTGCTCATGCATTGCCGAGTCATCTCTTCAGCCACTAAGTTTGTGATTTTCGAAAAAAATGCTCAAATGTGCTATGGCCAAAGAACAAATTTATATAATAATTTAAATAATTTTCATGATGATTTGTTTGAGAGTTGCTCTAACAAGACAGTGCATCTAGGAAATCTTATCCGTTGAATAACTGAATAGCTGAATTGCTGCTAATTTTCTCCTGTGTGTGGGGTAGTTGGAGTTCTCACACCAGAGGAGAATTAAGAGACTACTGACTGCCCCATTTGCATATTTGTACACAAAAGGAAGAAGTAGTAATCACATCTCCTTTCTTTCTCAGGCAGACATAATATAAGATGCATGAATAAATAAAATGAACTAGTGTGTTGTCTTCAATTTTAGATTTAGGTAATTTCTTTTCTCTTTCCTGTTCATTGTCTCTGTCTCCTAAAACACAGTTCACAGAAATGGTACTGTCTTTGTAAATGAAGTGAAGATTGACCAGTACATGAGATGTTAAGATTCCACTAGCATTTCCACTCAGGAATTACTAGCAATTTCAGAGGTCAGAGTGACAGACTCACTCTACAGCTTATCTGCCTCCAGGAGAATACTCAATACTCAGAGAGAGAACTACCTGGAGAGGCTATATTGTTAGATGCAGAGAGGAGTCCTCAGCTCAGCTAACAAACAGCCCCTTCTGCACGACCATGTTCTTAAACTTAAGTTTATGGACAGTTACTCCACTCCTTGAAGTGCCAGGAACTCAGCAGGATGCTAAGGACACAGGGCTGAATGAGAATACATGTTATCTTGTCTCAATGACCTTCCAAAAGTAAAAAAAAGACCAGTTAATTATAATTACTGACAAGTGCAGTGAGTGAAAAAAAGCTCACTATTTAAGAAAGAACACTGTAATAAGAGAGGTTCACTTAGATTCAAGTTAGAAAACTCTTTTTTGAGGAAGGGATATATGAAATCTGAAGGTTTCATGCAAAAGTCTATACAAGCCTGCTTTGTTGATGGGAGGATGGCTAAAGTACCAACATAATTAAAGAAGGCCACCAAGTTTACAGCACAAGAAAGAGGAAAGTGGAGTGGAAGAGGCTGAAGCTGTTAGCCATATCATGGAAGCATCTGAGGCAAACCCTACATTCTCAGGACTTCAATTTTCAACTCCTTGACAAAGATTCCTATGAGTATATCATCTTGTTAGCACCAAACCTTAAGGGTAAATGTATATACAGGGATATTTGCACATTGACTTCAACTCATTTGGAAAACATTAAAGCCTTCTAACTAGTTATTCAGTTGTAAACCTGTCTGCTATCCCAGTGTGTAGGAAACGCAAACCAGGAAGAGAATGTATAGTGATCTATGCAGGGTTGCAGGATTGCAACAACTCAAGCTATGCAACCTTAGAATTTAAGATCTCCATCTAATTAGTAAACTTTGAAGAAAAAGGAAAGAATAAACCCCCCTCCTAAATGTTTAAATATTGTCAAGGTCTATACATACATAAAGCTATGTACTTAAAAATGAGTCATTACAATTATGTATTCAAATACATGACAACATCATTTTACAAAATACATAATTTATTACATTTATGAGTTCATAGTAAAATAGGGAATCTTAAGAACTATCAAAATGACTTAGGAATAACAATGAGATATTAAATCTCCAAATCTTAGAACCTGAAATATCAAATTCCAGGGCTTTTATTAAACCTCTTTTGAAAATATTATGTTCTCCCAAAGGAAAAAAAGGGAATTAAAAATAGACACATTGATAAAGGCAGTGTGTTCTTCTCAGCTGGCTTTATTCTCCACTGAATCTCAAATATAGGATTATATATTTTTTACTTACAGGAAGCTGTCACTGTTCTGTTTTCCAGTAACCCTCAACACAGAATGGAAAATGCTTATGCAAAGTGACACAAGCTTTCACCATTCTCTGCAGGCTTCTCCATGTCAATACGCTTTGGTACAACAGCTTTTCCCACTCTACAGTTCTGTCAGTGAACTATGAATATGTTTAAATATTTTCCAGATTCATCATGGAGGCTGCTTTTCTTCTCTGCACTGTAATCACACTGAGCTGCAAACAAAATAAACAATCAGTAAGGAGTCTCTGTGGGGAGTATAAGAAGAAAACAAAGCACAGTGTGCCACATCACAGCCAACAGTTACTAGGTAGTCTAAGTGGAAGGCCTTGGAAGAGCTCTTTTTATGTGATCATTCTATTTTACTCTTGAAGGGTCTGAATCACATTAGAGACATGCATGCCAAATATGGCAGTCCGTAGCTCAGAGTGACACTCTGAATTCCTATATTTCACAGATGGTGAGAAAACATTCATATAAAAGTTAATCAGCAAAGTGTCTCATACAAATTTGGCCTAGGCAAATACAAAGCAGATCTGGTAATCAGATCATTACAGATTTTAAGACAAGTCTAGGGGGAAAGTGACCTTTGAGTAGTAACTGGGGTTAGTTATGTGTATATATGATAAAAAAAACCTAACAATACATAGTATAAAGCAGGTTTTAAAATAACAATATAAAACAATACATAGTATAAAGCCGGTTTCCTTCTCCAAACTTTACTTCATTCTAGTTCTCTCTTCATATACAACCTCTACCTTCAGTTTGTTTGTTTATTTATTTAAAACAGGGTCTCACTATGTAGTCCAGACTTGCCTTGAACCCTGTGGTCTTCCAGCATCAGTCTTATGAGTCCCAAAACTACAAGCAAAAGCTACTGTCTCCAGCTACTTGCCGTTTTGAAGTATATTTCTTTTTATATTTTCTAAATGAGCACACGCACACCTTTTGGTAGTTAAAAAAGTCTGCATCTACTTTACTGCTTAGATTATCAGCCTCAGAAATAACTGCATAATAGATTTACTTTATTTTTCTTACTATCTTCAAACTTTTCCCTATCCGAATACAGTTTTACTTGGTCATTTACTGCTGAGTATTTGTATGATTTTAAACTTTTACAATTAGAGGGAGAGTCAGGTGTTGTGGCATATGCTTTTAATCCCAACATTTGCGACTGAGAGGCAGGCTAGGTGAAGCTCTGTGAGTTCGAGGTCAATCTGGTCAACATATTGAATTCCAGGGCAGCCAGGGCTACAGAGAGAGAGACCCTGTCTCAAAACTAAAACAAACCACAACAAGAACAACAACAAAACAAAGCTACTACATGGCAACATGCCACGCCATCAGTAGCTAAGAATATACTACGATGGTAACAGTACATTTATACATAATGTTAGTTAATAGTATGTTTGACTTCATTTACTTTGCTGTCATCGTTTCATCCATCCATCCATCCATCCATCCATCCATCCATCCATCCATCCATCCATTTCAATTGCCTGAATGCTCACTGAACTGGTCTCTATTCATTCCTACAAGAAGAAATGACTCATTTTGTTTATATGATGTGTGTACTCTAGAATTCCACTGATATATTTTCTAAATTACTTCCCAATGGCTAAGTTTTTATATTTTGTTTTTGATTTATTTGGTTATATACAAATATACATTAAATAAAGGTATCTTGTACCTGAAATATTTTGTTTCTACTTAAAACCTAAAATAAAAATAAAGTACAATTTGAAACATTAGAAAAATACTTTCAAATATAGACACAGAATGTTATGCCCAGTAATTGTCATTAGCAGAAACTTTTGTATAGACAGTGATGTTTTATATCTGCTCTTTCCAACTTCCCACTAGCCAGTTACCAAACACTTAAAATTTGGCTAGTACGACTTCAATTTTTATTTCATTTAATCCCAGTAAAAGTAGTGTCTGGCTACCAGCTACTTTACTAGAGATGGTAGTTCTAGATATATGTACAGACAGAGGATACTGATGTCTATTTTATATATAAACTTTTTCAACTGCAAGTACTAAGGAGACTAAGTTTGTATATTTTAATTGAGTAAAGATCAAACAATCAGTTCTTGGGAACATCTGAGGACCTCTGCTTATTTATTTCAGAAGAAAAAGAAATCCAGGCTGTTTATCCACTCTGGGTAATGAGGATGTTCCCTACCTGCTGGGATACTGACGCAGCTCTTTCTTCGGCCTGACTTAGACGTCTCTGAAGTCTGTTGGCTTTTTCTTGATGCTCCAGAATTAACTTTTCATTCTTTTAAGGGGAAATAAAAAACAAATTCAAATCCAAATGTGAGCTGGACAAATTGGAACATAATTTAACCACTTGTAAAATCAAGATGCCATCATCTCCACATTTACATTTTCCAAGTCATGAGCACCATATCACACAGCTGATTCTACTTCATTCTCAACCTGTGCTTGGAGGGTTGGACAACTCTTTCACAGGGCCGCTTATCAGATACCCTACATGATATTTACATGTATGATTCATAATAGTAGCAAAATTACAGTTATGTAGTAGTGATGAAATAATTTTATGGTTGGGGGTCACCACAAGATGAGGAACTGAATCATTAGGAAGGTGGAAAGACATTGCCCCAAGTTATTCCTCCTTCTATATCATTCAAAACTCAATTTGACAAATCTAAAAGCAAACTGAATCACAAAAGAAAACAAGACTTTTTGAGTTTTTGGTCTGTTAACCTTGTTGTGCTTGATCATTGCTTCAGAACCACAGAAGCCAAACACTGGGCCTTATAACCACAGCCTCAGTAAAGAGTTGGGGTGACTCTTGTATGCTCCCCAAAACATCTGCATCCTGCTACTAGGGTCAACATTGTTACATATTGAATTCTATTCCCCCAAAGATGCTACAGTTCTAATCCCTTGTAGTTGTGAATATGAGCTGACTTGCAAATAACCTTTGTAGATGATTAAGTTAAGGGGACTATAGTGGGTCATACTTCATGGCTGATGTCTTCATGAAAATGGCAGATTTGGATACAAAGACAGATACATACATGGAAGACACTGTAAAGATAGAAAAAGCACCACCCACAAGTCAAGGAATGCTCAGAGCTCCAAGAGCTGGGAGAAAGGTTGGTAAGAGTCTCCCAAAAAGCTAACACTACAAGCACTGTCTTGCCTCTGGAAACTGAGGACACAGTTTTATGTTATTATCATGATATAACAAGAACTATAACATGAATACCAAGCCATCATTACATACTGTCATCTCAACAAGTTAAAAACAACTTGTCAACTGAAAATGTGTTCTTTTTCCATACTTAACCTGCTTGGCGCAATGCATTTGAAAAAGACATTTTTGTACAAACAAAATGATTACATATATTTTCTGGCATTTAACTCAATCCAGAAAATACAAGGCCAAACAGGAATGGTTAAAAACCCCTTTATCTACGAAGAGCTAGATAGCTTTTTATGTCCTAGCAAGAAGGGGTTAGAGTGAATGCCATGCCAAGTAACATATAACAATGAAATAAAGAGCACAGAGTTAAAATGAGCTTGTTATAATTAAGTGTCCAACGCAAAATTAAATCTATGAAGAAATCTATATCAGCTGTACTAAACAACCAAGTTGTTTAAGTATTAAATTTAAGTTTTAAATTTTAAGAGGTACTCTACACACTAGAGAAAACTAAGGGAGAGATCCCATTATCTACAGTAATCATTTTGATATCTATAAACCAGACTCTATATATCTTTCTATATGGTTGCCATAATAGTTAAAACAAAGTGCAGACTGAGTAAATCTGATCTTTTTGGTTTTTTTTTTTTTGTCAAATATTATTAACTGTACTGTACTGAAACTGTGTTTTTTACTTACAATAATTTTTTCTAGGTGGAAGCTATACCAAGGAACATTTCAATACAAATCTTTAACTATTTTCTACGTGACTCATATCAACAATGCCATGATGTTCAAGAGTGGTGATCTTACTATGTCTCTTGTAGATGACAATGGAAGATAGGCCATAGACCAATGAAATTCTACCACATATATCTGAAGCTAGAACATAAATGAAGAATTAAACTTTAGGAAGTCCCAAATCTAGAATTTATTTGCTTTTATAGAGCCATAAGAAAAGAAATGAAGAACTCTTTCTTTGTATATGATTCTAAGGTATATCTATCTTAACACTTTTTTGTATATTCTATTAGACATAAGTATTTTTGATGTGTCTTTTGTGATAGAGTAAAACAAATGAAGAGGTACATAAAACAATTTTAGAGATTCTCATGAGAAAAGAGGATTCTAAAGTATATAGTCTCTAATATACTGCACAAATTTTAACAACAAATAAGAATTCTACTTTTACTGTATACAAAAGATGAATCACTAGTGATTCGTTTTTATTCAGAGTATAGTAAGTGTGGAGTTTTAGGGGTAATTGTTTGTGGCTATTTGTATGTAGTTATTCCTGAGTAGAGAATATTTGGGTTTGGTGCATTTTGAAGGCTATAGTGTGTGTATCAAGCTGCAGTAGAAGGGACTTCCCTAGGGGGAGGGGAGTCATTTTCTTACCTCGGCTACCTTTTCATTTGCCATTTCCAGCTGAGAAAGTAGCTCTTGGGTATGAAGTTTCTGTCGACTCAGCTCACTCCTATTAAGCGAGAATTGAGAACTGACCAAACAAACGTAAAAGGGAAAGTTTGGAAGTATATGCAAATATAAAATACACACTTAAAATTTAAGTTGAAAACAAGAATAAAACAATGTAAACTAAAATCTTTACTAGTGAGACATTTATATTTTGAACAAAAGTTCTTTTTTAAAAAAATAGTAACGTACTCATCTTTTTCAAATAAAACGTGGTGGTTTAAATGAGAAGGGCCGCCACAGACTCATGTTTGAATAACTGGTTACCAGGTGGTGGATCCATTTGGAAAGGATTAGGAAGCACGCCCTTGTTGAAGAAGGTGTGTCATTGGCGGTGGGCTTTGAGGTTTAAAAACTCACACTATTCCCAGTGTGCTCCCTCAAAACTTTCTACTTGCAGATCAAGACGTAAGTTCTCAGCTATTTCTTTTCGAGACAGGGTTTGTTCTCAGCTATTTCTGTGCCACACTTTTTACCCTGTAATCATCAACTCTAACTTTCTGAACCCATAGCCCAAATTAAATGCTTTCTTTTTTATATATTGCCTTGGTCATGATGTTTTGTCACAGCAATAGAAAAGTAACTAATGCATAAATAAACATGTATTCTGGGGTAGTTACATTGTGAATATACTTAACCCTATTGAATCCAGTAAAAGTGGTTCAGAAGGTAAATGTAAATGATGTATATTTCGTTACACTTAAAAATTATATCACAGATAAGTTTAGTAGCACATATTTTTAATTCCAGCGCTCATGAGGCAGAGGCAAGTGAATCTTAGTGAGTTTGAGGCCAGTCTAGTCTATATAGTGAATTCCAGGCTAGCTGGGAATATGCTGTGATACCATGTCTTGATAAAAACAAAAAACAAAAACATATATCCTGGAAAGATAGCTCAGCAGTAAGAATACTTGCTGATCTTGCCTAAGACCTGGGTTCAGTTTCCAGCATCCACATAAGGCAGCTCACACCTTCCTGTAACTCCACTTCCAGGGGTTACAATGTCCTTTTTTGTCTCTATGGGCACTGCATACAGACAACGCAGAGGTCACTAGAACAGAATGCACATACGCTCTCAACAGGTATTACGTTTCTTTTCTTGAAGGACTAACCCTGTGTGTAAATATTCTGTGCTCTCCTAGTGCTCGTCTGTGAGCACAAGGACCTCCATGCCTACGCAAGAAGTGAGTCAGAACAAATTCCAAATCAATTTTGTAGTATTAAAATAGTTAAATACTGGCTTTTATCCTTTAACTTTATATTTCTAAAATTAAACAACAAAATAATACTCCCTCAAATAGCTCCAGCTTTTATATTTTCAAATGAGCCACATAAACAGCTTGAGAACTCAATAAATCCCTAGGGTATACTATATTTGAGGGAATAGCTGTTAAAATTAGTAAGCTATGAGTAATAAATATATAAGCCAGGATAGGTTCATGTTATCAATAACAAGTTTCAGTAATAGTTATTGACCACTTACCACAGGCTGATGTGGGACAAACAGTGGTAGTCATAGTACTGCCATCCCCAGACCTGCACTTGGGAAGACCAGTGCTCACCCCTTCAATGATGGATTAGTTCAGCTTCACAATCAAGTGTCTGAACTGTTATCACTGATTTCATCACAGCAAACTCAAATATTTAACCTTTATTTTGGTGGTGACAAGGTAGAGAAAACAGTACCTAGAGAATCTCATGCACCCTAAAATCACTGCTTCCAACAGGAGAAAATCAAAATGGCCACAGGAGCCAGTCTTCCAGGCCAAATATAATTGAAGACAAAATTATGCATATTAGTATGGATATAAAATAAGGAGTACGACCAAGGTTAATATGAAACAGTAACATTTATAATCAATATTCCTTTTACATAAAACCAGAAAACTACCCATTGTGTGATTTGACAACTAAACTATTTGTTTACTTAAGGCAATTTGCATGATGGACAGTAATAATTTTCCACAAAACTGATGATCAGAAAAATACAAGTAATTAAGTAAAATTAAGTATTAATTTTTATACTAAATTATTCGTCTTTATAAGTATTTATCTATGCAGATCTGTCATGCTCCAGTGGATTGCAAGCAACACTGATGGCCATTTTCATATGCTTATAACCTAGCATTTAGCAAGAGATAATGATGATAGTGGTTATGATTCTAACAAACACACGGTGCTCCCCACCTGCCAGGCAGTTCAGGTACATTCAGAAATGAACTTATTTTAGTTGTCAAGACAACCTGGTGAGGTCTAATTTTATATGTGGAAAAACTGAAAATAAAGTTTAAAAACTGAGTACAAATAAACTACTTTCCGAATAAAGCTATCTAATCTCTTCTCTGGAAACTCCAGAAAAAAAGAAAACTTCTTACCTCTCAGGAGTGATTTAAGTATAGTCTGCAGAGGCACACAGAGATACATTTCCGTTTCTGTATGACATTATGGTACTTAAAGAGTATTTACACCAAATAAAAAGTCTGTCCTGCCTACATGATAAGCTGGGGCAAAAGGAGCTCAGAGCTCATGGGAGTGACCAACCAATGACTGGTTTAACTTGATGCCCATGCTACAAGAAGGAGCCCATGTCTGACATTTTTCTGGATGGGCAGGAACTAGAAGGTGGATGGCCCCAAGTTCTGAGGTAGAACCAAACATGACTGGTTAAAAAACAAAGGGGGAAAAGCTCAGTGAAATGATTCCTAATGATATCCTGCTATACTCATAGATCAGTGCCTAGCCTAATCACCATCGGAGAGGCTTCTTCTGGCAGCTGATAGGAACTGACTCAGAGACTTACAGCCAAACATTAGGAGGAACTCAGGGAGCCCCCGGGAAGAGGGGTGAGGGAAGGAGTTAGAAGCCAGAGGGCCTCACAGAGACTGAGGGCAACCATGGACACTGCATGGGTCTGCACTAGGTCCTCAGTATATATGCTCTGCTTGTTTAGTTTAGGGTTTTTGTAGGACCCTTAACTGGTGTGGAAGGTCCTTCTGTCTATGAGTTGCTTTTATTGGTAAATGAATAAACAAACTGCCTTGATAGGGCAGAACTTAGGTAGGCAGGGAAAGCTAGGCTGAATGCTGGGAGAAAGGAGGTGGAATCAGAAAGACGCCATGGATCTGCTGCCAGAGATAGCCATACTGAAACTTTGCTGGTAGGCCACGAATTTGTGGTGATACACAGATTAATGGAGATGGGTTAAATTAATATGTAAGAGTTAGCCAATAAGAAGTTTAAGAGTTAATGGGCCAAGCAGTGATTTAATTAATACAATTTCTGTGTCATTATTTTGGTTCTGAGCGGCCGGGGCAACCAACAAGCTCATTCCCTGCAATACTTAACAGTGGGAGTAGGGATATCTTTGGCTCCTTTGCCTGTCCTTGAGACCCTTTTCCTACTTGGTTGCTTCGTCCAACCTTGATATAAGGAGTTTTGCCAAGTCTAACTCCATCTAGTTATATCCCTTGGAGACCTGCTCTTTTCTGAAGGGAAATGGAAGAGCAGTAGATAAGGGGGAGAGGGAGGGTAGGGGAGAACTGGGAGGAGTAGAGGGAGGGGAGCCTGCGATTGGGATGTACTGTATGAGAAAAGAATAAATAAAAAGAAAAAAATTTAGTGGAATGTGTACCCAATTTCTCTATAATTTCTGTCACAGCATTCATCAAAAGAATACCCAGAAGAATGAGGAATCATAATTTATAGTAGGAACTATAGTAGGAACTGCCTAGCCTATGAGTGTCTCAAATATTTTAGATCATATACATAATTAATATTTAAATGACAGAATTCTAGTCAGGTTTACAAAATATAATGTAGAAACATGTTACAAAATATTAATTTCTGTACATTACATAACATTAATAAAAGTCAGAATGTTTTATCTATGAAGGAAGCACGCTGAGCATAATGCTAAACTCCAAAGTCACCAAGTCAGTATTTTTTCAATAAATTACAAAAGCTGATTTCCACAGTTCACTCTCCTGACTGTTTGCAGTCCACCCTTGCACAGTCTCAGGTTTCACATCAGCTCTCTAACGCAAGGTGCAGTGTGTGAACGATGAGTATTCTGCTATGGTCACAAAGACTCTGACATTAGATGTAAGATGGATGAAAAGGGTTCACAGATATCCTAGGAATTCTAAAGATGGTTTTGTCCAGGTTTTTTATTGGAATTTATGTTTGCTAAAAGTATAGGCAAACTGACAAACTGAATATTTCAGCTAAACTGTTTTTTTTTTTTAATTTTTATTTTGTGGTACTGAGTATCGAACTCAGGTGTGCCTTATACAAGTTCACTTAACAACTAGATGGTATCCATTGCCCTTACTGTATTTTCGAATTTGAGCTGGGGCTCATTAAGTTGACCAGGCAGACCTGTCATCTTCCTACCTAAGCCTCAACTGCAGAGAGCCAATCCCAAGTTCCCACCACCTACACTGAACGCACAACCATCTTTACCTCCAGTTTCAGAGGATCTGACACCTTCTTGTGGCCCTCCATGTGCATGCATATAAAGGAAGTCTTAAAATCAACCTAAGGATATTCAAATCCTCTACTGACTTCCTCCTGCTGCACTTTGGATTTTAACTTGAAATATTCTTCAGTATTTTACTGAAAGTAAGTAAATACATTTAACAACAGCCGATGTACACTCTGGTCACCTTTGCTCTGGAGCTTACTGCATCCTGTTCCCATCCTTCTCTCCCACAGGCCTTTCTGCTTGTTCCCCTACATCTGCAGTATCTGCTGCCTTTGTTGGTATAGCTCATTTATTCTGTTATTTCGGGCTCCACTTTAAATGTCAGATTTTCAGACTGATTTCCCAAAGTTGTTAGTTACTTGATTTCATATCAGAATTAATGAGAATCCAATGATTACATTTTCAAAGAAGGCTCCTAATAGTGAAGTATGTTTGGGATACTACAACTAGTAAAATCATGTTCTAAAACCTCACCCTTTAAACAAAAATTATTCCTAAGAAGCTTATTTTTAAAAGTTACTTGAATAAACTCAAACTTATAA